ATTCCACTTCACCAGTTGTCAATTGGCTTTACTGAAAGATTTATGCTGACGCTGTTTCCGAGGTAATCTCCTTCGATTCCGGAGAAAAGATGCTAAGCTTTTGTCTGTCATATGACGAACATCATCAGAGCAAGGTATCATCGTCACAACCAAATTCAAGCTAAATAGTCAAGAAAACTCACCGGGAAATCCATAAAAAGTGGTATATATACTCTACATCTGGCCAATTTGATCAAGTATAAATTACAACACACCTTGATGGCCGAAAACAGACGTTACTTTTTGCTGTCCTAATTAATTTGAGACATACACATACAGAGACAGACACACTCACAGGCTTCGAAGTGGACATATGACCGTAACTAACCAAATCACTTTATACCTGATCAAAGAGGCCAGATGTAGACTATATATATCACTTTTTAAGGATTTTCAAGTGAGTTCGTCATGACGGACAAAAGCTTAGCAACTTTTCACCATAATCAAAGGAGATTACCTCGGAAACAGCATCAGCATGAATCTTCCAGTAAAGCCAATCGGCAGCTGGTCAAAAGTAATCTGCCGTCGTCTTCTGGTGGAACCGACCTTCGAATCTTTTTACTCAACACTTACACTCAAAATGGAATTAAGCTCAACAATTATGAAACAAGAGATTCCTCGAAACCCAACTTTTCTTAGGATGATAATTTTGCCTGTATTTTCTCACTGAATATGCTAAAGTATCATAGAAAATTATGCTTTACTATTGATAGATTGTAACTTTGAAATTTATTTAAATATTTTACAGGATTAGTTTTTCTTAATTGCTCTTTAAGGTATTCTATCCTGGAAAATCCTTTCTAATAGTAGGACAAGAAAGGGAATCCAATCATGTTTTCTCCAAAAAATTTAATAAGAATTCTTTTTTTCCGATCATTCCATACGCATTCAAATCACTTTAGAAGTAACAGCTTAGAGTTGCGGTATTAGCGTATAACTAGACGAAAAGTTAAATAGAGCCACGGTAACATCAGTTTTTAAATAGCATTAAGCGATTTGCGGAACGACCTTACAGGTTTATATCTATTATTTATTAAAATGCCACCTATTCAATAAGAGGCCACTTTCTATAATCTATCTTGCAAAATATTTCACTCTAGGTTATCCTTGCATAATCAAAAAACATGTTTGTGTAAATCATTAGCGAACAATGATCTCGACGTAAAGTAAATAGTATAGAAGTTGTTTGAACTTGTTTTTGCAACTTGTTTATATTGTTAAAATGATTTAGAGGAACTCACCTAGTTCGGATTCCAATGTATACATGATAATTTCTAAATTCTGACCGTGGATGTGGTACATTCACCGACGTTTCGCCGGCATCGTCAGTGAGTCTTGCCATTCTTATCACCATACTACAACTCGTCAAAGAGACAAGTGAAGCCGATCTTTTGACCAAATGTGTGCTAAACAGTTGTGGTATCTCTCCTTCCGTCATGGGCTACTCACCTCTCCTATATCCTAGTATCACGCCTTCACTCACACATTTGGTCAAAGGATCGGCTTCACTTGTCTTTTTGACGAGTTGTTGTGTGGTGCTAATAATGGCAAGACTTACTGGGAATGTATCACCTTCACGGTAGCGAAAACAATCTCAAACAACTTCTATAGAACGAAAGGAGACTGCGACCACACAAATAATCACACCATCTTGGTCTTAATATATTCGATTAAGCTTGAATTATTTTAAAGCTTGCACATAGTTATACTTCTATGCCGAAGAGTAACAACTGCATAGTGCCATATCACATAAAGCTAATATTCAAAATCTTTACACAACTACATGAGAATCTCTACTAGATTAAAGACAAATTCACCCCTCAAACTAACTGCTAAACCTAGAACGAGCAGATTTTTTTCCTAATTTCACAATATTTATCAATAGTATATACAGTTACAGCTCTCAATTCCACTCCTGCTTCTGATGAGGGATTCATGCCTATCTTTGGTATGGGAATTATTTA